GGGTTTCCCTTTCACTTGAAACACAGAAGACTTGGCACATAAGAGTCAACTCTAAGAGAACAAAAAAACAGATTCTTGTCACTATGGAAGTCAATCACAATTTGTTCTTAAGGGTATAAATATCAAAGAAAGAAAATTAAAAGAAAAAAGATCCACAAGGCTAAAAATGCAAACAGTGATGTTAGAATAAAAAATGATAATGGAATTCAGGAAGTTTCCAACTTGTGAAGAGATACTGTTCTAAATACAGTTGACCAAATGGATGAAACTTAGAATTCATTTTCTTATAAAATCAATGTTACAGGAGAAACAAGATTCCCAGGCTAACTCATAAATACACACAGCTCATGCCCTGAAAATGCTACAGCTTCGCAATTCCAGTACCATGTACTGCTGTGGGAGTTAAGGCTTATAAGAAACAGGAACATAAAATGTAGTGATTTATTATGCAGCCTATCACTTGAGGGAAAGAAAAATCTTAATTAGAAAAAACTAGAATCCTTTTTTAAAGGTCTGTTCTGAAAAGAGTATACAAAGACCTCAAATGTTCTACAGGTGACTAAACATGAATTAGAAAGATTTTAGAATCTGTAACAACTGAGTTCTAAATTAAAAAAAAAACAGAGAAACAGAAATAGATTCCCCTGAGGTAAGTGAGGAGAGGAAAGATCATGGCAAAACATGAGGGTGGAGGGCTTCCCTACCCTACTTAAGTCAAACCGTTAACCCAGGACAGCGTGGCCAGTCAATGCTCTCATCCAGGCCTGAGGTGTGTCTGAGAAGACGGGAGGCAGGCCCAGATGCGTATGTTCAGATATTCACAACCTGGCTTCCTTCCCTTTCCAAAGGAAACTATCAATGGCAGGCAGTGTCTGTGTGATGGGAAGGAGCCTGTTTCCAAGTTCGGTATGTTAATAGCTAGGTGGCTTTTGCCAACCCATTTACCCTCCCTAAATATATGTCTCCTAGTAGGTAAAAAGGGGATCAAACACCTAATTAAAACTCGGCTGAGATCAAATGTAATACAGTGCGTTGATAAACGCAGCTCCTTGTAGGAGACAGAATTTAAAGCATTCTACTTACCTACGAGAGCAGACCAGCAGAAAGTACAACTGGCAGGTCTGCTAGACTTGGATTTTAAATAACGGCAGGACTCGCTGGAGAATACCTGAGTCCTTGCACACAGGGAGTAAAGAGGGCGACGCCGCCTTTTTTTCTGTCAAAACCCAGCGCGAGTGGCAGTTCCTTCAGAAAGCCTTTCCTGGACCTCTGCTCCCTACTGCCAACCACGCCACGTCCTGCAGTTTGCACAAACTCACGCGGTGGCACTCCCTAGTGAGCCTAACTCACCTGCTTTACACGGGCTGCGGATTCCTTGACGACAGTGACATCACCTTACGGAAATCCGCCTGAAGAGTTTCAGGAGATTGAGCAAAGCTGGGCACCCAGTAAGCCTCTATTAACAACGACTGGGTTGAGCGGTCTAGGTCTTCAGCAGGACAATTATTAGGACAAGAACACTAGACGGTCAACAGTGACTTCTTATTTACTTCTTATTTGGAACAAAACTTAAACCTTTTAGCAAAAAAGACATGCGAGCAATCTAAGCCTGCCCACGAAGAAGAATTAACTAACCCATGCCGAGTGACACCAGCAATGATGTCACGAAAAGCGAGCCTGACACTTAAGAGACCACATTTCCTTCTGTCTTTCCATTGAGTCCCTACTACAGGGTGAAGGTAACTAAGGTAATTCAAAGGGCCGTTGAATAATAAGACATGTTGGGGGGGGGGGGCGGTTGTGACGCCTTGGGCAGTAAACTCTCCTGATGCATTTTGCAGAAAAATATCCATACACGTTGCTGACATGGGCGTCTGCAGCCAGACAGACTTTCAACTCCGCGGGGGTGCTCCTAGGCGGCTCCGTCAGCACCCCGAAGTTCCTGCCCCGACAGCCGCGGCTCTTTCGGCCTGTCCCCGACGTGAGCGGCCCAGGCCGCCCCCAGCCCCCTGAGCCCTGGGAGCGGAGCTCCGGCCGCACCCGTCCCGAGGGTGGGCGGGTCGGGGCGGGGGGCGCTGGGGTTCGCGCGCGTCCCGGCAGACGCCGCGGACAGCGGCTCTCGGACGCGCCCAGGGCCCCCTCCAGGCCCGCGGAGCACAGGCGCGTCCCAGGTGCCCACAGAGGCGTCTGTCAGGGCTTCTCCGGGCCCCTCAGTCGGCGGAGGCGCCCCCGCACGGCCCCGCGGCGAACAGCTCCTCGGAGGCCCCCCACCAGCCGCCCCGCACTCACTCAGACCCGCGGGCAGGCCGCGCACTCGGGAGCCGGCGCCGCGCAGCAGCGTCCCCCGGCGCCGCTTCCGTCGCTCCTCATCGTCCTCCTCCTCTGCCTCCCGCCGCGGGGCCGCTTCTGCCGCCGCCGTCGCCACGGTCCGGCCCCGAGCTCCCGCGGCGCCGCGCTCGGCTCCCCCACTTCCGGCCCACGCTCAGTGTCGCCGGCAAATGCCCCCGTCGGGTCCCACATCACCTGCTCTAGCCCTTCCTCCCGGGAGTGGGGAAGGCGGGCCCCCGCCCTCCTGGGCATGCGCAGAGACGGCTGCCCGGTAGGGGCGGGGGGAATGGGGGTGGGGAGGAAGAGTCCCCGGCGACGGAGGCCCGGGAGGGACAAGATAGCGCGAGGCCGGGTACCGCGTGAGATCGCGGTGGGCTGGGTACCCCCGCCGTGGGTGTCAGGCATCCTCCGAGCACCGATAGGCCTCCCGCCCTGCCTCTGAGGCCTCAGGATCTGCTGCCGGACGCTTTTCTTCCCGAAGAAATAGTGTCTGCCCCAGAAGGTTGTTAGAGGTATGGCAGTGAGTTCCGGCACTTCCATAAGGGCTTCCATAAGGGCACTTAACTTCTTGTCTTCTTCCAGCCCAGCCCGCTCCTACCTTCGTCAGGGTGCACCGTCACGAGCGGATGCATGTTTTATCAGGCCCCGAGACCTGTACCACTTAGAAGGCCCTTTTATTTTAAGAAAGAAAGAAAGAAAGAAAGAAAGAAATTCAAAACTACCTTTTGCAACTTTTTACAAAAACCCAAGCCCGTGGCAACATCTCTAGGGCCCCCTAACAAGGCCCGGGAAGTGATCACACAAATGGGAGCCTGAAGCTGGAACGTCGTGACTGTCACGGTCAACCCCCTGCGCACCAAGTTGTACCGAATTGTTTGTTTATAGGTGTCTGTCTCCTGTCAGTCCCTATTCTCCGAACTGTTTTGTATCTACAGAGGATATGTCATAATGTTTTCTTAAAATGTGAAATCGCTACCAGATTGAGAGCTCCAGCTCACAGAGGCTCTTGATAATAATTCCTGTTATTACCTGATAAGCACCACCCACCAAGACAGACGACCACTTACGAAAATAAACTAATAATCAAAGCAACTCTAACAGATACTTAATGAAAAACTGTTGATTCTCTTTGAACCAGGCATTAGAAAGGCTACAATAACATGGTAAATTGGAGAGTGGGATTTGAATCAACTTGAGAGTTTGGTTTCGTGATTCATGGGTCCCCTGTTACATCACTAGTACAGAGCACAGTCCCCAACATTATAGAAGCTCAATAGATGCTGAACAAGGTACAAAAATGTACACGAATGCTTTTGCAGAAGATGGGCATGTAGGGGATCCTTTAACTTAACACAGTTGGATATTCCTCCGAAGTACATGGATAAGTTGACTAGTAGGTGGGAGAATTACCCACAAAACAATACCATGTGACTTTACAAGTCAGTGATTTCAGAGAAATATTCAGTCAATATAGGTGAATTAAACATATAAAGAAATTAACTGTTGGGCTAGAAGGAGCTAGACCTCAGTCTAGCTTTACTACATATTAGTACTGTGAATTAAATGTGTGTTAGTTTGTAAAAAGAGGCTTTTGTATATTAGACAACTCCTAAGGGCACTTAACGGCTTCAAGATGTATTCTTCAAGCCTGTTGCAGCAAAATTTCATTTTAAAGCAATAGTATTTTATGCTAAAATGAAGTGTCTAATTCTAAAAGTTGTTTCCTCCTACACTTTATGAATAAATTCTCAGTTCTCCATGGTGGAAGAGGACAAACCGTAAGAAGATACTGGTAGAAATCTACAGCTTCTAGAACATAAGGATTCGGTTTGTTTTCATTTCTCAATTTTGCATATGTAGTACAATTACAATATCATAGTAGCTGCTCAATAAAGATTTGTGGCATGGTTTTATTTTGAATCCTTGAATATAAACTAGAAGTCCACAGTTGATTTTCGAATATGCAACTGTTTATATTATGAATTATACATTTTTTATTCTTATGAATTAGATGAGAACTCATCACAGTTGCACTATCATGAAAAACACATAGGAAAGCACAGGCTTAGACAATTTTGCAAAAGCATATTTTTCCACTTAAATGAAACAGCAGACGTTTGGGGAAAGAAGACGCCCTCTTCCCCCCTGGGAGGTTTCACAACCACAGAAATGAGAGTTGGTACCATTCTTTACACACAGGGAGCAAAACTCGAGAGGTTGTCACTTGCCAAGAGCAGCCTAAAGAGAGGCACTGGCTCAAAGTGCCAATAACGAGCCAGTGGACAAAGTGTTTTGCGGTCTTACTTCGCGACGAAATCCACTCTCGCAGGTCAACCGTTTGCAAATAGGATCTGCCGCTGAGGCCAACCGGATTTGTGTTTGTAACCACACTGTAACCCCCGCTGCCTCCGGTCCTCCGCAGCGGAGCCAGGCGGGCGGTCTTCCCAGAGCCCGCCGGAAGGTTTACCGCGCCTGCGCACATCGTCTCCCTGACATCACAACCTCTGGACCCCGCAAGGTGCAGATGGCGCTTGCGCACACCATCCCCATTAAGTCGGGACCGCCCCGTCCACAGGTAAGCGACTGCGCCTGCGCGGGGAGCAGCTGCCGGAAGCGGGGGTGGCGGCGCCTGCGATTTCAGGTCAGGTAGGAGGCTCTTGCGTTGGGGGGGAGGGACCTCGGATTCCGGGGAGGGCCTAGAGGTGAGGCGAAGGCAGGACAAGTGTTGCCGAGGAGGCAGGGGCCGTGTCTCGTCTTCTCAGTCCGCAAACGCTGTGGTCTTGAGAGTTCAGGTTTCTCCTTGGTCCTTCGGTTCACCCGCCGGCGTCCCCAGGTGAGGGGGCGTCGATGCCCTGGCGACGCGCTGAGTTAGAAGCCCCGTCTCGGCTTCAGGGTGCTTGCTCGGGGCCCCACCCTTGGGACGTGGGGCGAGGGAGTGTAGTGCTTTTGACTCTCAAGAATCGTGTTGGCTGCTTGAATTACCAAGATTCTGGCGCCCACCCTGCCAACTGGGGACCCTCGTACGCAGTTGATGGGAGTAGTGTGGGCCCTTCAGTGATTTTGCACGGGAGTCTGGCCTGAGGGATATGAGCGAATGTGGGCTTGGAGGGAATGCTTGTTTCTCTTCTTACACTGGTTTTTTTCTCACGACTAATTTCTTTCTCCTGAGGTTCTTCCAGAATATCACAAAGTGCCGTGAAAGGTGGCTATTGTAATCCCTTTTGTCTTGTCGAGGGTTGTACAGTCACTTTCTCTCCAATAAAATAGCGTTGACTCCTCTCCCATATTCACAGAATAAAACCTCGCTAGTTTGTTTTGTTTTCACTTCAGGACGATCTAGGCAGCAGTTGAATGGATGATGAGTCATTATTAATATTAATTCTTGTATTCATTCTCTTAAGAGCTTTGCTTGGTACTTTGTAATATTTATGTTTTCAGTTTTGGTTTTTTTTTGAACCAACAAACACTATAGTACTGAAATCAGTCAGGGGCTTATTAAATGTCATATACTACGTTAAGCATCTTATGTAAATTGTCAGATGTCATCTAATTTACATGTAGTTATCAACCTCACTTCACACTTAAGGAAACTTAGAGAAGTTAAATAGTAGAGAAATTAAATAGTGCGTCATATCACACAGCTAATAAGTGTTAGACCTCACACTTAAACTCGGATTTATTGGACTTCTGAGCCCTAAGCACAAACTTGTTTGTTTTGTTTTTTCACAAATCAAAACCATCAGCTAAGATGCTCAGATTCCAAAAAATAAGAGTGTGTCAAAAAGTAGTGGAAATACTAATATTTGACTTTTTGTACAGTTTTCATAAGTAAAAATTTTCAAAGTGTGTTCTTTTTATATTAATTTTGGAATCTTGGTTATCTATGTGACAGCCTCAGGACCATGTATAGATCTGCGTCATTATGTGGTTCTCACCGCTCCTGTAATTTGAGTCCTTGCCTGGGACTTTCTCAGGGAAACTGACTTTCAGTTCGTGGTAGAATCTACAGACAGACCAGAACCCGTACACCAGACGAGCATTCAGAGAAGTGCTTCTCAACATACTTCATTTTATACATATTGTGTATGAATTGTGAACAGGGTGTTGTGTGTCATAATGTGCTGGGTTGAGGGAGCAGGTCTAACCAGGTGGTGCAGTCAGTTATGCAAATGAGACAGCAAGGGGAAGCCAACTCTGGTATTCCAAGATAAAAGACTCAGCATTGTGGTCTTCTGGCCTCATTGGCTGGGTAGAAATTGGGTTTCCTTTGCCAGGAATTTGACTGAGAAGGGAGGCTGTTTTTGCCTGTTGGCCCCCAAGTGGATGTTGTTCACCTTCCCCAAAGTGGTTATGACTGCTGAATGTTTTAACCAAACACCCCACCACTTGTGTGTTTGTGTGGGTGTGTGATCAGCTCCTGGCTTGCCCTGGTGTGCTTTTCCAGGAACTCAGCTCCACGTTTCAGTAATTCATTCAACAAACCGATGAACTCCTATGTGCCAATTATGTGGTACAAATTACACCAAATTCTAACCTCCAGAGACTGACAGTTTAGTAAATGTGGTATGGTGATTGATTCCTTGTGCCAACTGCTAGGTTACATGGCCTTGTGCTAACATTGTAAGATTCCCTTTCGTTTCCTGGGGTAGGGAATCTCCTGGACTCTGTACCACAAGGGATCTCCCCACTCCTGGAAGCAGCTCTGGCTCCCTGCCCTCTGAGCTACTTGAAAACTTGCCAAGAAGTGTCTGAAACTATAAGATAAGGCATTCTTCAGATTCTTAGAGTACACATTTTACTTAAATCTTTTTTGGGAAAGTGAAAGAGGAGAGTGAAAAAGTTGGCTTAAAGCTCAACATTCAGAAAACTAAGATCATGGCTTCCGGTCCCATCACTTCATGGCAAGTAGATGGGGAAACAGTGGCTGACTTTATTTTTGGGGGCTCCAAAATCACTGCAGATGGTGATTGCAGTCATGAAATTAAAAGACGCTTACTCCTTGGAGGGAAAGTTATGACCAACCTAGACAGCATATTAAAAAGCAGAGACATTATTTTGTCAACAAAGGTCTGTCTAGTCAAGGCTATGGTTTTTCAGTAGTCATGTATGGATGGATATGAGAGTTGGACTATGAAAGCTGAGCACCAAAGAATTGCTGCTTTTGAACTGTGGTGTTAGAGAAGACTCTTGAGAGTCCCTTTGACTGTAAGGAGATCCAACCAATCCATCCTGAAGGAGATCAGTCCTGGGTGTTCATTGGAAGGACTGATGTTGAAACTGAAACTCCAATACTTTGGCCACCTCATGCGAAGAGTTGACTCATTGGAAAAGACCCTGATGCTGGGAAAGATTGAGGGCAGGAGGAGAAGGGGATGACAGAGGATGAGATGGTTGGATAGCATCACCGACTCAATGGACATGGGTTTGGGTAGACTCCTGGAGCTGGTGATGGACGGGGAGGCCTGGCGTGCTGTGGTTCATGGGGTCACAGAGTCAGACACGACTGAACAACTGAACTGAACTGAGTATATTTTAGTGTTACATACTTTAAACCATATTAAAATAGTTCTGTTATAGATTTTAATAGAACATGAACGAATATTTAAAGCTTCAAAGTAATTTTATGCTTGTGGCAAACACTTTAGCAAATATTCTAGACCCTAGTCCAGCAAGGTGGCCATTTTTTCCTGTGACTTTATTTTTTTTTTATTAATTTTTTAGAGAACTTCTTGCTGGTACAGGCATTTCATTAAAATACTTCTGGCATATAGACAGACATGACAAATCACAACCTGAAACTCCATCCTCTATAAAGAACCTCAAAGAACAGTACAGTGGTGTAGCATAACCCATGTGGAACTTCTGTAGTAATTTTTGATATCCCCAAAGTGTAAAAATAGCTAGCATTTACATAGCCCATACTGTGTGCCAACTACTATTTTAAGTACTTTACATATATATGATAACTCATCACAAACCTATGAGGAAAGTACAAGAGTAGTTACTCCATTTACAGATGAAGAAGCTGAGCCAGAGATCAAGCAGTTTGCCTAAAGTCACATTGGTTACTTAGGCTCTCAGGTCTTTGCTCTTAGAGTTGATTAATGTGAAGCCTTTGGCCGGTGATATTTATTATTTTTTAAAAATGAATTTTGCTTTAAAGATACACTGAAAACTGCTTTATGTTTATTTGTACTTAGGTGGTGGTGGTGGTATCTGGCTCTTGCAACCTCATGGATGGTAGCCCACGGGCTCCTCTGTCCATGGGATTTCCCAGGCAGGAATACTGGAGTGGGTTGCCATTTACTTCTCCACCTCAGTGACTTTAGAAGATTCTGCAGTGAGAAGCTCTGTCTCATGGCATTTTACTTTTGTTATGTTTTTATTAAAGCAATTAGCACTTTATAATCATTCCCATAGCATCCTCTTTTCATTATAGAATGTGTACCTAAAGCAGAAGCATACTGTATTTACCCGTAGCACAGTATCTAGCCCATATGTAGTCAGCAGGTGGTTTGAGGATTACTGACATGAGAATATGAGCCAAAAAGCTGTGCTAATGAATCTAAATTTGTGAAACTGTATGAACTGTGATGCTAGAGTTGAGAGATAGGTAAAGTTAGAATTTTATGGGGAGGGTATTTTGATTTGGGCTTTGGCTGCCAGAGTGACTTGTCAGAGCAGTGAAGTGATAGTGAACAATCATAGACTTTGTCAGGAAGGAGAGGGTGCTTATTTGGAGGGGAAGGGGTCTGGATTATCTATGCACAAGGTCAGTTCAGCCAAATTTCAATTCAAACCAGTGATTTGGTAAAAACATGATTTTAAGAAGTTTTTTTCCTACATATAATGGATAAACAACAAGGTCCTCCTGTATAGCACAGGGAACTATATTCAATATCCTGTGATAAACCATAATAAAAAAAAGGAAAAAATTACATACACACATATATATGTATAATTGAATCAGTTTGCAGCAGAAATATACACAGCTTTGTAAATCAGCTATAATAAAAAATGAGCTAAAATGTGAAAAATTGTTTGTAAAAAAAAAAAAAAAAAGATTGTTTCTGATGCTGTATGATGGTGGTCTGAAAGAAAAAGAAGAGAAATACAAGAAAAGACCTCAGGAGCCCAGAAATGAACTGGGATTGAAGCAAAATAGTTGATTATCATTCACTGTAGAGGTTGCAAAGAGATGTCATTTATAGCATTGATCTGTTTTCATTTAATAAATGTTACTGAACATTTATTATAAACCACACACTCTCTATAAGGTCTTTACATTAAATATTTAGTCGAGTTTTATCTTTTAAAGTGACTCTCTTTTTGCTTTACCAGATAAATCAGAAGATTCACCATCGCTTCTATGGCTGCCTCACAAACCTCACAGACTGTTGCATCTCATGTTCCTTTTGCAGATTTATGTTCAACTTTAGAACGAATACAGAAAAGTAAAGGGCGTGCAGAAAAAGTCAGACACTTCAAAGAATTTTTAGATTCTTGGAGAAAATTTCACGATGCCCTTCATAAGAACCAAAAAGATGTCACAGATTCTTTTTATCCAGCCATGAGACTTATTCTTCCTCAGCTGGAAAGAGAGAGAATGGCCTATGGAATCAAAGAAACTATGCTGGCTAAGCTTTATATTGAATTGCTTAACTTGCCTCGAGATGGAAAAGATGCCCTTAAACTTTTGAACTATAGAACACCGACTGGAACCCGTGGAGACGCTGGAGACTTTGCGATGATTGCATACTTTGTATTGAAACCCAGATGTCTACAGAAAGGAAGCCTAAGCATTCAGCAAGTAAATGACATTTTAGACTCCATCGCCAGCAATAATTCTGCCAAAAGGAAAGACTTAATGAAGAAGAGTGTTCTTCAGCTTATAACTCAGAGTTCAGCACTTGAACAAAAGTGGCTGATACGGATGATTGTCAAGGACCTAAAGCTTGGCTGTAGTCAGCAAACTATATTTTCTGTTTTTCACAGTGATGCTGCTGAGTTGCATAATGTCACCACAGATCTGGAGAAGGTCTGTAGGCAACTGCACGATCCTTCAGTGGGACTCAGTGACATTTCGATCACCTTATTCTCTGCCTTTAAACCCATGCTGGCCGCTATAGCAGATATCGAGCGAATTGAGAAGGACATGAAACACCAGAGTTTCTACATCGAAACCAAGCTGGACGGCGAGCGGATGCAGATGCACAAGGATGGGGATGTGTACCGGTACTTCTCTCGCAATGGGTATAACTATGAGGACCAGTTTGGTGCTTCCCCACAGGAAGGGTCCCTCACACCATTCATTCATAATGCATTCAAAATAGATGTGCTGAACTGTATCCTCGATGGTGAGATGATGGCCTACAACCCTAACACACAGACTTTTATGCAAAAGGGGAATAAGTTTGATATCAAAAGAATGGTGGAAGATTCTGAGCTGCAGACTTGTTATTGTGTTTTTGATGTGTTGATGGTTAATGATAAAAAGCTAGGACATGAGACCCTGAGAAAGAGGTATGAAATTCTTAATAGTGTTTTCACACCCATACCAGGTAGGATAGAAATAGTGCAGAAAACACAAGCTCATACCAAGAAAGAAGTAATTGATGCTTTGAATGAAGCGATAGATAAAAGAGAAGAGGGGATCATGGTAAAACACCCGCTGTCCATTTACAAGCCGGATAAAAGAGGTGAAGGATGGTTAAAAATTAAACCAGAGTATGTCAATGGACTGATGGATGAGCTGGACATCTTAATCATTGGGGGCTACTGGGGGAAGGGTGCCCGGGGTGGGATGATGTCTCATTTTTTGTGTGCTGTGGCGGAGAAGCCCCCTTCTGGTGAAAAACCCTCAGTGTTTCATACTCTGTGTCGCGTTGGCTCGGGTTACACCATGAAAGAACTGTATGACCTGGGTTTGAAGTTGGCCAAACACTGGAAGCCTTTTCATAGGAAAGCCCCACCAAGCAACATTCTGTGTGGAACAGAGAAGCCAGAGGTGTACATCGAGCCTTGCAATTCAGTCATTGTTCAGGTTAAGGCCACAGAGATCGTCCCCAGTGACATGTATAAAACCGGCTGCACGTTGCGTTTTCCACGGATTGAGAAGATAAGAGAAGACAAAGAATGGTATGAATGTACATCCCTGGAGGACTTAGAGCAACTTCGAGGGAAAGCCTGTGGAAAGCTCGCATCCAAACACCTTTACATGGGTGGCGATGACGAACCACAAGAGAAAAAGCGGAAAGCTGCCCCAAAGATGAAGAAAGTCATTGGAATTATCGAGCACCTAAAAGCTCCCAACCTTTCTAACGTAAACAGGGTTTCTACTGTGTTTGAAGACGTGGAGTTTTGTGTCATGAGTGGAACCAGCAGTCATCCCAAGCCTGACCTGGAGAACAGAATCGCCGAACTGGGTGGTTACATAGTACAGAATCCAGGCCCAGACACGTACTGTGTGATCGCAGGGTCTGAGAACATTCGAGTGAAGAATATCATCTCTTCAGATAAACACGATGTCGTCAAGCCAGAGTGGCTGCTAGAGTGTTTTAGGACCAGAAGCTGTGTGCCCTGGCAACCCCATTTCATGATCCACATGTGCCCGTCAACAAAGCACCACTTTGCCCAGGAATACGACCAATATGGGGATAGTTACTTTGTCGACACAGATTTGCACCAACTGAAGGAAGTCTTTTCAGGAATTAAAAATGCTGGTGAGCAGACTCCTGGGGAGATGAGTCCTGTGATTGCTGATTTGGAACACAGGTATTCCTGGGCCAGTGCACCTCTTAGCTTGTTTAGACACCACACCGTTTATTTGGACTTGTATGCTGTCATCAATGACTTAAGTACCAGAATCAAGGGAGCTAGGTTAGCCATCACAGCCTTGGAACTTCGATTTCATGGAGCGCAGGTAGTTTCTTGTTTGGCTGAGGAGGTGTCTCACGTGATTGTTGGGGAGGACCAGAGTCGGGTTGCAGACTTGAAAGCTATCCGAAGGACTCTTAAGAGGAAGTTTAAAATCTTACAAGAACGTTGGGTCACTCTGTCAATAGACAAGTGTGAATTACAGGAGGAAAATCGATATTTGGTCTGAAGCTGGCTTTCCTAGTGAGGCAAGCCTCAGATCTGACCAACTCATTACAACAGATTATCATGATAAAATGTTAAACTATGTTTTATTTTCATCTTTTAAAAATCTGCATAAAAAGTATTACTAGATACAGTCATCATAACTTTAGATATAGAAAAGACACCCAGTAGCCCAATGTCAAGAAAGAAAATTTTTTAGCAGTGTAGTATTTCATTATTTTTATGACCAAGATGAAATAAAAAGTTTAACATTATAGTATCGTTATACAAATATAAAATTTTGACTCATATTAACAAAATAGATTTTAACAAAATAGATTTAGAAGCTTTTAGTCCTTTTAGTGACCTAAACAGGATTTTCTGAAGTCAAATAAAATTTTTAATAATGGTTTTTGTCTAATAAAAGCATTGCAAGAAAAATATTAGTTGGCATATTTGGATTTGTGAATACATCTTTTTAAGTTGAAGGCTAAAATTCCTCTTTTAAATGTGAAAGGTGAACAAGTTTATTTTTTAAGGTTAAGTCAGGCTCACGAATAAAATACCTTGTTAATCATCAGGATGGGTATGCATAGTCATGTTCGAGTCTTAACAACCCCATGGACTGTAGCCTGCCAGGCTCATCTGTCCATGGGATTTTCCAGGCAAGAATATGGGAGTGGGTTGCCATTTCCTCCAAGGAATCTTCCCAACCCAGGACTTGAACCCATGTCTTCCACATCCCCTGCATTGGCAGGCGGATTCTTTACCATTGCACCACCTTAAGAGCACCTTGTTAATTATGTTATTAGCTAAATCAGGGGAGACTGAGTAATGGTCTAAAAACTTAAAAGTTAGATCAGTTTGATTTTTTAATTCTCTTGCAATTTTAAATGTACTTGGCCTACACTTAATTTTTTTTTCTAAAATAGAGCATATTTTAAAGAAAATATTTTTATATGAATTTGTACTTCAGTATAAATAGTATTCACAAAGAGTGGTTTTCCCACATATGGCCCATTGGAAAGGTATTGGAATGGTATGTGTGTTGTAGCTTTCTCTACAGAGAAGTAAATTGCTTTGATTTTTTTAAATAACTTATTTTTTCTTAGATTATTTAAAGTATGTAGTATGTGCAAATATAAATATATTATGTCTGGATTTATGTACCAAATATGTAAAACCAAAATATACCAAATTTTGGAATGCAGCCTATACATTTTGAAAAATATGTTTCATGACATCAGTTAAATACTTGGAATTTAGTACTTGAGAAACTGTGTGTAGATTGTTTGTAAGTAGTTATTTTATCCAAACAGAGGAACAAATGTATGTTATTTTGTTGTATTTCTTAATTTAAATAAAATATTTAATTTGCTATTAAAATAATTTCATGTTTATTTTCAAAAATTCATAATTGTTACTTTAGTCAAGTAGATGTTAAGGCAGCAATGTCATTTTGAATGATTTAAATCAGTTCATGTTGAACGTCCTTTGTGTTTCATATTACTAAATGAGCTTTATTAAAAATTTTAAATTTGTACAGTTTTATACAATGTCTGTTGAGAAAAATTGCAAAATATGTGTAGTGAAGAGAAAAGTACACAGTTTTACCACCAAAGATAGTAACATCTACTATTTTAGGTTATTGATGATAAGGCAAGTACAGAATACGTGTTTTCAGTCTCAGCAAGTATAAGAGAAGCTCTCATGCTTCGTATGATTAGCTCTTCTCAGTGGGTGGTGAGAACATTTACGGTCCCTGAGCAGTCCCGGTTGCTGCACCTTATTTCGTTGACTGGCCTGTGATGTGCCGCAGCCGGCCCTCACTGGGTTCCAGGCCACTTCACCTTGTCACCTGTACTTCTTTCCTAGCGGGCATTGCAGTAAATTGTTTACGTTATTAGAAATGGGATTGCTGATTCCAAGTTACGTATTTTTCAGTGATCTGAAACACATTGTGAAATTCTGGCAAGAATGCCTTTTTAGAGTCTCCTCGTCTTTAAATGCTGGAGAGTTCAGTGTCTAGACCTGTTCTCCCTCTTTTCAGTCCACAAGTGTTCGAATCCTGCCCAGTGGCTTTAAATGCGCTAATGACTCCCACATTTCTTTAGTTCCAGTTTCTTTGCTTACCTTGAGTTCACATATCTGACCATTTACATAGCATCAAACGAAATCACGTGGCCCTCTCAACCTGTCCAACCATAACTATTATTTTTTTTATCATAGAAGAAAATGGTAAATACAACAAGGAGGCTGACAATGAACCTGTATGTGCATATCACCCATTATCAACAATTAGCAGTCTTTTTCATATGTATAGACCTCTGAATTATTTTGAAGCAGCCTTAGATCACATAATTTCATTGATATTTTGTAGTAGACTTCTTGATTTCTCAAACACCTTTTAAAAAAAATTTATGTTGAAGTGTAGCTGATTAACAATGTTTGTCAGTTTCAGGTGTATAGCAAAGTGACTCAGTTGTACATTGTCAGGAAGCATTTAACGGGGGCTTCCTGTGTGCTGTTTTGGATCTGTCATGAACCCTCTGTCCATTATTAATTCCTGAATATTTAGGAACTAAGAGGAGAGGCAAGACTTTCCCCGGACTGAGGAATGCATGCATTTCCTTTGTTAGTTTCATCATATGTTAGTTTCTCCATACAGTGATAAGTAACTTTACGATCTTCTTCCTTTTTATGAACCATATGGTAAAAGTGATTCTTTACAACTCTCTCTTTGATAAGGATCGGCTTATGTTTCGTAAGTCTGGAATTTTAATCTTTACCTTTGTAAGATGGTATATATGCCCACACCATGTTGATTAAAACACCTTTGCTCCATCAGAGCTGGGGTCCCTATGTCTTTCTTTCTCTCTTTCTCTTCTTTCTCTCTCTCTTTCTGGCTGATTCTCTGGAGCGCGAAGGCCAGCTGCATAACCCAGGGAATATTAGCCTCTTTCCTTTCACTTTCTCATCATCGGCTCCAGACCACCAGGTTCTGGTCCATTAAAGGACCGACAGTACATATATACTTATCCATTCTTTTTCAGATTCTTTTCCCATTTAGGTTATTATAAAGTATTGGGCAGAGTTTCCTATGCTATACGGCAGATCTTTGTTGGTTATCTATTTCAAGTAAAGCAGTGTGTACATCCCAAACTCCCAGTCTTTCCCTCGCCTTAACTCTTCCCTGTGGCAATCTGAAATTCATTCTCCAAGTCTGTGGGTCTGATTCTGTTTTATAAAATAAGCAAACTAGACCTCATACACACAGTTCCCCACTTCACTAAATTGTACATCTACTCACCAGGCTGCTCGAGTAGCTTCATCCCTGACTCTCTGCTCTCATAGCTTCAGTGCATAGCATATCTTGTTAGATCCAGCCTCCAAACACATTCACCACTTAGGGTAACTGTTGGGGTCCAGCCCCAGCAGGATCCAGGGGAACCCTCAGGATGAATGGCGGCGGTGAATGAGAGAGAGAAAGTGAGACAAAGCTCAGGGCTGAGTCTGGAGTTTATTTTCACACGGACCCTTTATACCCTTAACAACATCTTTTTTGGGGGGAGGGGGAAGTGCATATTGCTTACACACAGGGCATCTCAAAACATTACAGCAAC